AGTATTTCAGCTAGCCATTGAGCGATTCCGTGGTAAGGAGAACCGGCCATATCGAGGGTAGGACGGAGGGGTAATCCTGACTTATGAAATTTAGGTAGTCTATACAAATTGCAATTCATGAATTTAAGCGAGACCTTTGTGTACAAAAGAAGTATGTACAATCCCTACTTCTGTCTTGGCCGTAGAGTGATAGACATTCATTTATTTTATTTTGTTTATTTAGTTATTCTATGTACTTTTCCCTTATTACTACGATTATTATTATTATTATCATTATTATTATTATTACTATTCTCACTCTGAATCTTTTTCACTTGACCCACTTGACATTTTAAACGCAAAATTATTGATTTTTCTATTTTTAATTTTACAATATTGAATTCTACCTTATCAAATTTCACACCATGCTATGTAACATTTTATATTCCTCTTCTAATCTTATTATTATGTACCCCTTTCCAAAATTCTATACCCCTATCTTATGTATTATTCTATATGCGACATTAATTATTTTGCCACTTGACACTAAACTATGATTATAATCACAAATATTTTAATTGCATTTCATACTACTATTATTATTTCATGTATTCACACCTTTGAATTAATTCCCTCACCGGATATAGTTTTTATACAAAAACCTATATATATATATATATATATACGATTGTACAGCTTGGTAATAAATTCGTTGAAAAGAGTCTCTTCGCTGAATATTGTGTTCTTAATGTTACAATGGAAATTAGTAAAGTAATAAAAATGACATTTTACGCATTTTTGTTTTAAATAAGGCATTACATGCTTTATCGTTGTTAGTATTATTACAATTATGTTTGATGGTGTCTACTAGAGTGATACTCCAGTCTGTTCACTGGTATCAATTAAAGTTAACAAATGAGACTGGAATTGAACATGTAACGTGACAACAACCCAATGCCTTCATTTACATCCTTTCCGAGATGATGTTAGAGAATATGTTGTCAACCAAGTGAAATACTGACTCGATGACCTTGAAATGGCCAGTCATATTGAAGGGAGCTAGTTTTAAGACAGAAGAGATAGTGTAGTGACCCGTTTTATTACTCATCATCGCAGTATACTTTCATTGTGTAATTGGACTTTGATTTGTTATCACCCTAAAGATTGCATGTTAACAATTGACACCTCTTGTACTCGCTCGATTTTTGAATATTGATTGCTGCAATAATACACTATCGTATTCCTTCGCAAGTGCCTTTTGAATTACGTTGTGGATGTCGAGTAATCGCAACGTTAGGACACAATTATAAACGCGAAGAAGTACTAAGATATACGTGTACGCTAGTGTAGTCAAAATAAAGTAGCACAACAATTGGTGAGCCCAACAATAACTTGCTGACCCCGACGACAACTTGCTGACCTCGACGACGACTTTTTGACCTCGACGCGTCGTTACACTTGTTGGATTAATAAGACTTTAATCTTCGTGGATCTATATATTTATTAGATATCCTGAACTCATTTTTGTGTTTGCTCATAGCACAACCTGCAGTAATTTATGGTAAGCACCTGCATTGTATGCTTTTTTATTTTATTTTGCCGTATTCTTAGTGTGCACAAATTTTGCCATTTTGCTACTCTTAAACCATTTTTTTACGAATTGTGACATGTCTTCCAATACCTCTGATAACTTAGAGCTGGGATCTGTTAGTACTATTTCTCTTACTGTACCAGTTTTTAAGCCCAGAGACCCTCATCTTTGGTTTGCACGACTGGAGCATTATTTGGCTAGCAATAAGCTCACGTCACAGGCAGCTAAATTCGGCATTTTGAGTACAGAACTACCAGACGAAGTCGCCGAGCAGGTACGGCAATACATCGCCCACCCCAGCACAGAAGCGCCTTACGACAAGTTGAAGGAAGAGGTACTTCGATGCACTTCGCTTTCGGATAGGCAAGCACTCGATCGCCTGTTAAGTAATGTTGAGTTAGGTGATAAAACCCCATCGCAACTCATGAGGCATATGCAAAGCCTAGTTGCAGGAAGAGAAATCGATAAACGTCTCTTTTACCAAATCTGGCTGCGACGACTTCCTGAAAATATCCAGCAGGTTCTTGCTTTCGGAGACGACGACATTGACATAGAAAGGCTCACCGAAATCGCGGATCGCATGTACGAGAGGTCAACACCTCAATCTGTCGCTTCCACTAGCAGAATACCAGATAAAGTTATCACGATAGAACGACTGAATAAAGCAGAAGCCATCAGAGTCGACAAAACGTCAAACGAACGCATAGAAGCCTTAGAACGTAAAATCGACGTGCTCACTGGGCAATTAATGACAATGAGGGTTAATAGACAACCTACCACAACGTACAGAAGACAGTGTAGCCACTCACGCAATACGCGTAAATATAGCTTACAACAGAATATATGCTGGTGTCATCGCAAATTTGGGGTACACGCAAAACGGTGCACACAACCTTGTGCTTTCCAACAAACGGTGGCGTTGGGAAACGAAAAGGCCGGTGGTCGGTGACGACTGCGGTCGCTGGCCAACACACGTCCCACAGCCGTCTATTCAGGGTGACAGACAAAACGACGGGGGCACAATTCCTGGTAGATACCGGTGCAGAAATTAGTGTAGTTCCCCCAACACCCAACGAACGCTTACAACCAAACCCAGCATTAGTTCTCAAGGCTGCGAACAATTCTACCATAAAAACGTTTGGAACTCGGAGACCAAAACTTAATTTTGGATGCAGTACACCATTTGAGTGGGAGTTCGTAGTCACCGACGTAACCTTTCCTATCATTGGAATAGATTTTCTTCAACACTACGAATTGCTAGTTGACTCTAGTCACCATAGATTGATAGATAGCAGTCGTAAGCTATCGATTTCAGGCATCTCCACAGATGTCGAGAGTATTCGCTTGATAGTAGCCACAAGCGATCAATTATCCAGGTACGATATTTTGCTAAAGAAATTTCCTGAACTGACACAGAGCGATTACTCCACAGCCTCTCTCAAACACAACGTAACACACCATATTGTAACTAAAGGTCCACCGGTCTTAGCAAAAGCAGAGTTCAACAGATTATTGGATCTAGGAATAATACGACCGTCAAACAGCCCATGGTCATCACCACTGCATATGGTACCAAAGAAAAACTCAACAGAGATACGACCATGTGGAGATTACCGAGCTTTAAATAAGCAGACGATAGCAGATAGATACCCAATTCCGCACATCTACGATTTTTTCCATAACATGGCAGGTGCCCAGATATTTTCCAAAATTGACCTCGTTCGTGCATACTACCATATACCGGTCGAGCCCAAGGACATCCCCAAAACGGCGGTAACCACTCCTTTTGGCTTATTCGAGTTCGTCCGCCTACCATTTGGCTTGACTAACGCAGCTCAAACATTTCAGAGATTCATTGACCAGGTATTGCACGGCCTCCCATTCACTTACGCTTATATCGATGATATACTGGTTGCAAGTAAATCCCCTGAGGAGCACCAACATCACTTAGAAACACTCTTTAAACGTTTAGCCGAATATGGAATTGTCATTAAACCAAGTAAATGTGAGTTCGGTAAGAAAACTATAAAATTTTTGGGACATCAGGTAAACAATCAAGGCATTCGACCAATAGCAGAACAGCTACAAGTCATAAAAGAATACCCGATTCCAGAATCCTTCAAAAAGTTACGCAGATTTCTTGGTCTCGTCAATTTTTATCGCCGTTTCATTCCTCACTGTGCACAGCTGGCCCAACCTCTGACAGAATTACTAAGAGGTCATGCAAAATCGCTGCACATGAGTACTTCAGCAATCGAGGCATTTGAAAAGCTGAAACAAACTCTAAGCTCAGAAACTTTACTAGTACGTCGTGACGTCAACGCTCCTATAGCGATTATGACAGATGCATCAGACGTCGCCGTCGGTGCAGTTCTTCAACAATTTTCTGCTGGGAAATGGCAACCTCTCTCCTTTTTCTCCAAACGTCTAGACGCCACTCAATCAAGATATAGTGCATTCAGTAGAGAATTACTAGCAGTCTATCTTGCTGTTAAACATTTTCGTCATATGGTAGAAGGAATACCGTTTACCATCTACACAGACCACAAACCACTAACCAAGACCATGAATGCAAAGCACGACAAGTACTCGCCAAGAGAACTCCGACACCTCGAGTTCGTTTCTCAGTTCACTTCAGATATTAGATTCATAAAAGGACATAAAAACGAGGTAGCAGATGCGTTATCCCGCATCCATATAAATACCTTAGAAAAAGACCAGTTTGATCTTAAAAATATGGCTAGACTGCAAACTATGGACGAGGATCTGAAAAGAATAAAAAATAGCACGAGTACTTCCTTACGTTTGCAAGATGTTATGCTTGATGAAGGCCTAATTATTACGTGTGATGTTTCCAAAGGTAAACCGCGCCCTTTTGTCCCACTAGAAATGCGAAGATCAGTTTTTTCCAAAATACATGGCATTTCTCACCCTGGCATCCGAGCAACAGTTAAACTGATAAGTGACCGATATGTATGGCCGAATATGAATCGGGAGATTAAACAGTGGGCCAGATCATGTTTAGCCTGCCAAAAGTCAAAAGTACAACGACATACAGTTTCGCCTAATGGCCAGTTTCCAGAACCTGATGGTAGGTTCCAACACATACACATTGACATCGTTGGACCGTTACCACCATCTAATGGCTTTACGTACATTTTAACGTGTATTGACAGATTTACGAGATGGCCAGTAGCTTGTCCCTTACCTGATATTTCTGCTGAAACTGTTGCAAAGAGCATCATACAAAATTGGATTTCCAACTTCGGAGTGCCCACCATTATTACTACAGACAGAGGTGCCCAATTCGGAAGCCATTTATTCCAACAACTCACAGAACTACTGGGAATCAAACGTATACGTACTACTGCATATCATCCCAGTTCAAACTGCTTAGTGGAGAGATTTCATCGTCAACTGAAAGCATCATTGATGGCAGTGAAGGACGATGATAAGTGGAGCGATAAATTACCTCTTGTACTTCTTGGAATACGTTCGACAATAAAACAAGATATCAAATGTTGTCCAGCAGAATTAGTTTATGGAACTACTTTACGACTACCTGGAGAAAATTTCAACCCAGCCACTGAAGTTCCAGCTGACGAAACTACTTTTGTACAACAACTGAGACAACATATGAGCCTTTTAAGATATCACCCACCGCGACATCAGCTCAACCAAGCATACATGCCTGAAAAACTAGAAAATTGCACGCATGTTTTCATACGACACGACGGTATAAGGAAACCACTTCAACCACCTTATGACGGACCATTCAAAGTAATAAGCAGAACAAGCAAAATCATCACTGTCGAACGCGGAGGAAAACACGAGATTGTAAGCATCGATCGCGTAAAACCAGCTTTCATGGAAATAGAGGTGACTGAATGTTTACCCAAATCAACATCATCTCAAGATTCAAAATCTGGTGATATTCCGTCTAACAAAACAGAAAGAATCACAAGATCAGGCAGACGAGTACATTGGCCACAAAGATTTGTACAGACAATTTATTTCTAATTCATTTCCATACTACCTTATTACGGTACTATTAACTGCATGTAAGATATAAATCTATTCCGTAACTCCTTACAATAACAACCCCATTATTATTCTAATAATTTTTCTGGTTTTATTGTTACATTTTGCACAACTTTCTAAACATTTTGGTTCGTTTCGAAGTTGTTAACATTTTCGCATATATACAGTTATATTATCAAACCTCAAAAACTTAAAATCCTCAATTCGGTTTTCATACCAGAAACTCGTATATATTTCTTCTGTAATTGTAATTTACAATATCATTCCGAATACAGGTAAACTTCATTTACCTGCATTCTACGGAGGGGCTATTGTAGTGACCCGTTTTATTACTCATCATCGCAGTATACTTTCACTATGTAATTGTACTTTGATTTGTTTATTACTCTAAATCTTGCATGTTAACAATTGATACCTTTTGTACTCGCTCGATTTTTGAATATTGATTGCTGCAATAATACACTATCGTATTCCTTCGCAAGTGCCTTTTGAATTACGTTGTGGATGTCGAGTAATCGCAACGTTAGGACACAATTATAAACGCGAAGAAGTACTAAGATATACGTGTACGCTAGTGTAGTCAAAATAAAGCAGCACAACAATAGTACAATTGTCGAAAAAACGCTTAGAGAAGTTAGACAGCAACAGACAGGTTTCCCAGGAGTTCCCACCTAGTAGTGTCGGTATTCATCTAAAAGACTCCCACCATTCAGATTCTGGAGGATTTAGGGTTGGTGGTGGGTATCAGGGTATTATTTCATTATTATTATTGTTTCCTTTAATTCCACGTGTTGTAACCATTTCTACCTTTTAAATGTGTACTGATTTTCTTCGTTAATTATCAACCCATTGACATTTTGATACTGACTAATTATTGTTAACTAACATATCTGTGCCACTTGATTGGTAAACTGTTTGTTGTGTATTGTAATAAAAATGCTATGGATATGTATATTAGAGTAGAGCCAGAGAGAGAAGAGGATCTAATTGAAAAGTAAATATTTCTTCACTCAATCATTCTGTTTTCTAAATGTCTAAATGGGGATTTTTTCTAAATTTATCGTGGATGTAGGTAGTGATGTCTCATGCTAAACTAGCATTCTGCTGATTGGTATACTTAGGAGAACTGGTCGGTTTAGAAGTGAAATTTCATCAACTGAATAAAATCTCTACAAATTAAAGGCAAAAGTAGAGATTTGTACACTATCGGCAACAAATCACATACACACTTTTAAGGCTATCCGACTTTCTGACCTACATTAATGGGGTACTGTGTACACTTGAGACTCTTCACAGGTTAGACGTCAACCACAAATGTGTAAAACCGTATACCGCTGATTGATTGATTGAGATGGGTAATTGTGTAACACTTGCAGCAACCACTAGTGATTATGAGCCCGTCACACCTACACCTACACACACACACATATTGTCATCTGAATAACTTCGATTTTCAAAGTGAACTCTGGTGAAATGCCACCTCCACAATCTATGGAAATTACAAACTTCGAATTCGATTTTGAAGTCAACTACTGAAACAGTGCTGATAATAACCCTGACCAGTTACCGACAGTTGTCAGTGGGTGAACATTTTAGAGTAGCAAATGGTCGTTTCACTGCTAATTCGTTTTTGCATCTTGTTTCGTCAATGCAAAGGGTGATATCCATCTTAGTGGTTTTCAAATAAAAGCATAGCTCATCATATAGAAATACATGCTACTTATATAGTTCTTGCGTTCACATTTGGAATGTGAATAGGATTAGTCAGTAAAGAGCTTATTAAATAAGCTTTCGTTGACGCAAACAGGATCCTGGGCTAAGAGTTGGTTGCATTCCTAAATTTTCTGATACAATGCAGTGTACTGTATACAATGGCAAATCTTCGTCTGCCTCGCTTACAAAACCCGGTGTTCCTCAAGGTGCCGTCCTCTCTCCTTTTCCTTTTCGTTTCTTCCTACACGACCTGCCGCATTTAAACGAAACTAACTTTGTCAAATATGCGGATGATCTGACTGTGTCACTGCCTATCACTTCCGAGTCTGACTGCTCCAAACTTAATAGCTTTCTGTTGGACATCAGAAAGTGGTCTAAGTCAAATGGCCTTATGTTAAATCCTTACAAATATCAGGCAGTTAACTTCACTTTCAAGCATTGTCGTGACATGCATGAACTAGTTAGTTCCCATGATGCCTGTAGCATAGATGGCACTGAAATTGAAACCAAGTCAAGCATTAAATACCTTGGATTAGTTCTTTCCTCTCACCTTTTATGGTCATCCCACATTTTATCAATCGCTAAGAAAATGTTTCGTCTTACCTTCGACATTAAAAAGTTAAGACAATCAGGTATCAACCAACCTTTAGTTCTGCAGTTTGTAAACTCCTGTATTTACCTATTGTCCTCTATTGCTCTCCATTAATCTTTCCTGGGCTTCTCAAAAAAGACTATATCATATTACGAAGGGTATTAAATGCTGTGAGTAGGGCTTGTGGTATGCCACTGCGTGAGCTCGCCAATATTATAGTCGAGAGACATATAACATCCTGTAAAAAATGGGCAGAGGCCGTACTGTCAGTGCCCCTTGCACCCCCTTTATTCACAACTATCCCTTTGCATCTCATCAGGTAGGACGAGAAGTCAATATAAGAAGTTATATGCTCGCACCATTAAGTACAAAATTTTATAATACTCTATTTAGCCCGTATTTTATGTGATGGAGACACTGTTAGACGTGAAATATATAAGTTACTATGTAATTTGCAAAGTGAATCGACCCTTTCATCGTTTATCTTTCTGTAATTTTATGGTGTCACCCTTTCTATCGTTTAATTATAACTTTGCTATTTTTTTATTTCAGTTGTTATTACTATTATTACTACGATTTTATACTTTATGCATATTTTCCCCTTATCGCATACTGTAATTGCTACATAGCTGCTATAACAACGTTTTGTTATTATTATGTAATGTTTAATTTTCTGCCGTTTTGAGTAAATTAGATGCAATATTGTACTGAATGCTGAAAATTCTTTGCTGTATCATTAGTACTGTTTTTGGAATAAAGCAAAATTACTATTAGTATTATTAGTGTCATTTCTTTACTTCTTAGTGCTGTGGACATAAGTTCGAATAGCAGGAGAGAAAACATCACTCCCCACCCCCCACAATCCAAGTGATAGTCATCAGTTAACAACTGCGTCTAAAGTATTATCAACTGGTTCAGCTGTTCTCCGCAGTCTTTGTAAAACATATGGGAGCCCTAAGCAAAATCACTTCAAGTAGAGTAAAGGCATGCCAACACCCATCAATACAAATTTCAACCAGAAACAGGATTCAGCAGGTTGATCCAATTTCCCTGTGTCTTCATTAAATTTACTACCTATGTCCTTCTAAACAAATCCCAGAAAAGTAATCCTACGGGGAGGGGGAGATTGTGTTTAATACGCTTCCTGAAGAAACACTAGTCCACAGTGAGTATACAGAGGATATAGTCTCTCACTAAGCAATGACAAACAGGCTAGCAAATTTCACTTAGCCAGTGGATGGTTAAAGTCAATACTATTTGGAGTATGCTATCCCCCATTCAATTAAAATGTGCTGTCGCAGGCAGTCTGCACTCTTCCTTACAGATGAACCACTAAAAACAACTGGAAATCTCTTAGTGCAGATGAACTTGTGACTGGTGAAATTTCGAATTATATAGTGAGAGAGACGCGAATGGAATACCGGGAAAGTACATCGCACCAATCAAGGCAATTTACTCGAAATTACACAGCTGGATAACAGTTTATGGAGAGTTGTCATGTGAAGCGATATCCAGCTATCGATCAATGGATGCATGTACTGCACACACTATTTCACTCTGTGCTCATTTATTTGTCTGAGACATGGACGTTGAAAGTAGAAGATATGAAAATGCTAGGTGTGTCTGGCCACTAATTTTTTCGTCCTACCTCACATGTTAAGGTGTATAATATGGTAAGCAACATCGTGGTTAGGCGTCGGTCGATTGATAAGCTTTTGGAGATACATCGACTAAGATGGTTAGGACACGTCTTGTGCAGGCAAAACCACTGCCGTCCTCAACGAATAATATTAGGCAACATGGGATTAGGCTGGGAAAGGGTCAGCAGTGGTAAAATTAAAGCCTTGAATCAATCGATGAAGTCTCTGGCAGCTCGTGTGAACTGGCTGATATAGGTGCAGGTTGCAAAAGAGTAAGTGGTGGCCAAACAAAAACATGGCCTCATCAATCCATGAAATCCCTGACAGTTAAACTGAGTCAGGTAGGGAGATGCAGACTTCCGGGTTGGGGCCCACCCTCGGGACTCTAAGAATCAATGGCTGGAGACAATAGGTGACATGGCTCAAAATCGTTGTCAGTGGCGCAGATGTATTCAGTCTCTTTAACCTTTCATATTCCTTTCTACCATTACTCATTCTGTTTCACTCTTATACTTATCTAAATTCTATTGATTCTCTTCTCTCATTTTTCTGTCTACCTTTGTGTGCTCTTTGGAACGTGGCAACTCGAACTGCTGCACTTCGGTGCCAAGTTCTATGTTGAATCCAGCAGCAGCGTGTAAACCACATACAGAAATGTAGACTAACTCGTTGGAGTCCTCAAGATGCCAGGAGCCGCTGACCGGAGACCGTTGGTGACAGCTCAAAATCGTTTACAATGTCTCAGATGCATTCACTCAATCTTTTTGAGCTCTCATATCTACTAAACCGTCATGTTTTCCCGTGTCAGTATTCTGTCTCCATCACATTTCTCTGGCTTTTGTTTACTTTCATGTGCCATGTGTTGCCATGCTGCAACTTGAAGTGCGACACTTCTGTGCAGAGTCTTATGCAAAAAAACTCAGCCAGTCAGTCAGAGAAAGCCATGGAGTATTGTGCTAAACAAGGTCACCGTTGGTGTTGTCGTATGGTTAATCTACTTTCCGAAGATTGGGTTTACAAAACTTGAGTGCCCACAGTTTCATTGTACGCCTGAGAAGCCAGGTCTGTCAGAGCCGACCATATACAGAGACACTATGCATTTAACCATCTGCAGGCATCTAGGGATGTCACAGTTCAA